TGTTACCAATAAGGAGTATTGGTAAATCTTGAAGAAATTTGTTTTGATGATGCTACAAGAAGTTTTAGTTGCAGAAGATATTAGAATTAGTTAAAAGCAATTTGTAGAAATTAAATGTAGTAGGAAATTCTTGTAAACCTTGTAAACTTGCATTTTTAACTACAATAATCGATTATGATTAAGCAATAATCGATTATCACAAGTCATACTTGAATAATCGATTATCACTTCATATAATCGATTATCACATTTTTGAAAACCTATAACGGACTTGAATAATCGATTATCACTTACAATAATCGATTATTCATGGCAGTTGGGAGCTGACCTTTGGCACTCAGTGTACTTGGCTATATATTTTGATTTGGAGAAATCAGAAGGCAACGTTTTTTGAACTAAGAAAGCTTAGAACACTGTGTATCAGAGGAACGTTCTTAGATAGCTTTTTGTTCATTGTTCCCTTGCTTGGTCTTATGAAAGGAGAGGCTCGCGTATCGTGTGTCGATAGTCGGAGCAGACTCTCTTCAAGTTAGCAAGGTACTCTGCCTGGTCTTGTGAAAGGAGAAGCTTGTGAATCGTTGGTCGATTGCTGAAGCGGTTCTCTTCAAGTTGGTAGAGTGGTTCTATTCATTTTATTCCTGTTCATTATCTTGTAATCTATTAAACCATTTTTAGTGGAAAAGGTTAATCACTATTTATAGTGATTAACGACTGGACGTAGAATCTTTTGATTCGAACCAGGATAAAAATTCTGTGTTGATTTTCTTATTCCCTACACACATATTATTTTACGTATATCAACTGTTTGATTAATTTTCTGAAAGAAAATTATTTTTACTAAAAGGACAAAATTAATTTTAATTGTGATCAAATACGCTTTCTGCTCTCTGTGTTTTAATTCCGCTGCGCTATACTCTTCGAAAAATACCCCCTACGATACCATCAATTATATGACGAATGTCATTACCACTTGAGTCAGTTGAATGAACTGACTCTAGGAAGATTCGATCAATACTCAGAATAAATAACTATACCGAGAAAATTCAATTATAGAGGTCGACTGCCAGTCAATGACCGAACGCGGTAATACACATTTAAAACTAATTATTATAATTTAAAACTAATTATTATAATTGATACCGGTGACAACAACGGAGAGAATCACGATCCCATTCTTGCAATATAGGGTTCCTGATCTAGTTTCTAATTTGGGAACATGAGTTGTTATTTCTTCCTTGTAGGTTTTGGTCTCGTTTTATTTTGAGCCAGGGTTTGAACCTGGTTGGGCCTGCACATAT